AGAGTCGAGAGCCGAAAAAGCCAAAACTATTCTTTCTATTGTGTTTTCTAGTATAATGAAAGAGCGAAGGACCCCTTTACCATTTTACACTCCCCCTTAACTTTTCAGAGGGCGAAAACTTTTCGGAGGTCAACGAAAAAAAGGCGAAGTAGAGAGGAAACCTTTGTTATAATTTACCAAAGCAATTTTCTTTCACCCCTACCTTAAACAAGCTTCTCCCTAAAGAAAGGTGGGGGTTATTCAGTATGACGTCCTCTATGGAGTGGGGGAAGTGTACAAATTTTCTGAACGATTGCGACAGGATAAAGGGAGCGTCAGTAGAATTGGTGACATGGTATTTTAATGACCCCAAGGCTTGGAATAACCCCGAAATGACCTTGAAGAAAGGTCGATTTTTAACGAAAATTGAGGGAGGAACGTTTCACGCTAATTCTTTCGACAGAGAGGTCGAGGCAAAACTTTCCACCCCGCGGTTTAAGTGGGACGTGGCTAATTTTAAGTGGAATTAAATCGATCCCATCCCTCCCTCCATTCCTTGGAATGACAGGGCACTCTTCGGGATTATAAAGGGAGAATCTTTCCAAACTCTTGCAGTTTTATAAAGGGGTTTGGTTCTTTGTCTACGTCGACCTTTCTCGTGTCTTATGCAAGCAGAAATAAAACAAAAGTTCGACTCGTCCCTCCTTTCCGCCGTTATCTTAATCGAACTTCGATCGAGTTTTCTCAATCGGAAAACGGCGCCATCTTTGTTAAATACGCGGGGCGACGACTTCAAAAACAAAAAAAAAAAAAAAAGAAAAAACCTCACGTAATTTCCGGTTCATACGTAGTTAATCGTAGTCTTCTTCCCCTAATCTTTCCATATCCGGTTTTTATTTTCATCCATCCATCTCCGTTCTCGAGATTAGCGAAGGACAGACACGCGTAATGGGCATACGTCGATGAAAATTACAGCCCAATATGGATATTTAAAATTGAAAGCCAGATTTTTAAATTAGTCCCACCCCCGTATAATAATACACCTATTCTATACAAGTTATATCCTAAACACGAGGAATTAAGATTGCAGGAGGAACCGGGATCGAATCCCAACGGAACCTCTGGAATGTTTTGTGGGTTTACGGGTATATCGGGTCCCGGCCATTCTATTGTGGGCCCGGGCGATTCCACTAAAAAGGGGCCCTTTTAGCATCCACGGGGCACCAACAGGGCCTTTGTATCAAGCCCACCGTAGCGAGGATTTCTTTTTTTAAATGTGTATTGAGCGGTAATGGTGTGATGTGGTAAAAAAAATGGTCTCGTTTATAACGTCTTGTCAAAAACAAATATGGTAAAAAGTTAAAAATAAAATTCACGTAATTAAAGTTATTGCACGCTTCATTTATTCCGCTTACGTCATACGTAATATCGTGACGTTTATTGTCGACATAAACAATAATAAATTCCACGTGAACGAGACTCGGATCCGACCAGTTAAAGTATTCGAATTCCCCCGTTTTTTGTTATTTCACACCATTTTAAGGGGGGGAGGAATTCTCTTGAAAATCTGCATAGAATTTTACGAGACGGTATACAACGTCATTTATTATTGGTGAGAGCCGATAGAGAAAGACGTAAAATCGAGTAAATAATTAATCGTTTCGTCGTGCGTGGAATCAAAAACAGTAAAGAAGAATTCGATTGGCACTCGACTGAATGGTGCCATTACCATGAAAGCACGGATGCCAGGAAAATACGTACAGGAAAAGCATTCAATTGTGAAAGAATTCAATCGCGTTACTACGAGGTTAATTTAAATATAACAGATTAATTAATTGTAATTAGTAAGATTTTGCTTGGAGGGGCAATAGACAACAGAAAATTAACTTCTACTCTATTCTGCAAGTATAAAAGAAACTAGCGATATTTGTCCATTGTGCCAAGCAGCCTCATGCCCTATNGAAAAGCATTCAATTGTGAAAGAATTCAATCGCGTTACTACGAGGTTAATTTAAATATAACAGAATAATTAATTGTAATTAGTAAGATTTTGCTTGGAGGGGTGATCCGAGAGAACAAATCACAATGAAAATTAAGCGTGCCTGAAATACCAGGTAGACAATTGTTCTAGAATTTCCCCATACATCTAGAAGGAAACTTGGATTATCTTCCTTCTAGAACGATCCACATAGTTTAAATTTTATTCTAAAATCTCTGGGAGGATCAAACACCCGCATCATCCCCCCTTAATTACGCCATACTTTTCGTATCGAGAGACAAAGGTTTTACTAATAAATAAGCGAAATTCGTCAATTTTTCGCGTTTTAAATCCGTCAACGTTTGGACTTCCGCCATTTTATAAAACTGGAACGTGATTTAGCCTTTTAATACCGGAAGCCAACGTTCCTTTTGTGGATATGGTAATCGACCTTCGACCTTCGACCTTCTACTTCAAGAGGGAGTCGCCATGTTCGCGAGGTATATGCTGGCCAGCGTGAGTTTAATTGTCTTTATATTCTAGACGATCGGGTGCGAGTGGGTAGAAACAATTGAATTAATTCTAAGGGTCGTGACCTCTTTAAACTCCGGAAAGAAAGTTTAAAATGGTGGACGATATCTCCTGGCAAAACCGCGTGTTTGGGTGAGTGCGCGTGACATCTTTTTCTCTTAGATCGGCGCTTCTTGTTTGGGGGATGACAGAAACGTAATAGAAGTTACTCTTCTATCCTCTCCACCGAACTGAATAGAAATGTTAAACAAGAAAGTCTTCCTCTCTTTGTTGGGTCCTGGAAAGAGTCGAGAGCCGAAAAAGCCAAAACTATTCTTTCTATTGTGTTTTCTAGTATAATGAAAGAGCGAAGGACCCCTTTACCATTTTACACTCCCCCTTAACTTTTCAGAGGGCGAAAACTTTTCGGAGGTCAACGAAAAAAAGGCGAAGTAGAGAGGAAACCTTTGTTATAATTTACCAAAGCAATTTTCTTTCACCCCTACCTTAAATAAGCTTCTCCCTAAAGAAAGGTGGGGGTTATTCAGTATGACGTCCTCTATGGAGTGGGGGAAGTGTACAAATTTTCTGAACGATTGCGACAGGATAAAGGGAGCGTCAGTAGAATTGGTGACATGGTATTTTAATGACCCCAAGGCTTGGAATAACCCCGAAATGACCTTGAAGAAAGGTCGATTTTTAACGAAAATTGAGGGAGGAACGTTTCACGCTAATTCTTTCGACAGAGAGGTCGAGGCAAAACTTTCCACCCCGCGGTTTAAGTGGGACGTGGCTAATTTTAAGTGGAATTAAATCGATCCCATCCCTCCCTCCATTCCTTGGAATGACAGGGCACTCTTCGGGATTATAAAGGGAGAATCTTTCCAAACTCTTGCAGTTTTATAAAGGGGTTTGGTTCTTTGTCTACGTCGACCTTTCTCGTGTCTTATGCAAGCAGAAATAAAACAAAAGTTCGACTCGTCCCTCCTTTCCGCCGTTATCTTAATCGAACTTCGATCGAGTTTTCTCAATCGGAAAACGGCGCCATCTTTGTTAAATACGCGGGGCGACGACTTCAAAAACAAAAAAAAAAAGAAAAGAAAAGACACCGGGAGGTAGGAATTCAAATTAATTGAGCTTTTCCGAAGTTCTTACAACTAGGAAGGTTTTCAATGAAAGGTCGTCTATCGAGAGGGGAGGGATGTCTCCTCCCCTCTACGCAACGCCATCAAAGTGATGGGATGAAGGAGTTAAGGAGGTGAAAGGTCGTTTTCCAACGTTCTTCTTCGGAAATCAAGATTTCCCTCTCTCTCTCTCCTTCTCGATTACGATACAAAGGACGACCGGAAGTGCGTCGCCGCCGCTATTCTGAGAAAAAAAACCAGAACGAAAGAAAAACGGAAGCGACGGGGAGACAGTCGGACCGAAAGACCTCGCCTCTCACCTAATTACTTCCGGTGCAAGAAAAGGTCGAACGTCGGACGGGCGCTTCTGTCTTTCGTCCTTTCCTCCCTTCTGTAGAAATTTGCGGAGGAGAGACCGCTGCACAGGTCGCGCGCGGAGACAAAGGAGTTGGAAGAGAGCCGCGCGAAAGAGGCTCCGTCTTCCGAACGTAATGGCGTGGCTGTTTCCGTCCCCCTCAAGAGTAAAAGTGATTGGGGAGGAGACCGATGGCGGGTTCGTACGAATCGTCCTTTATCCGGGTCGAAGGTCGAAGGTCGATCGAATCGCCTCTCCCGCGAGAAGAGAGGAGAAGGACCACCCCGACGCCGCTCCTCGGGTTCGACAGAGCGGCGGATCGGTCGGGAACAGATCGATAGCTCCTCCGCGCGCCGCTTCCGGTCCCCTTCCCGCTTCGGGCGAAAGGGAGAGAGAGAGAACGTCCGCGCCCGGAAAAAGGTCTCCTTCTCCCTTCTCTTCCCGCATCCGCGGAACTCCTCTCCGCCGGAAGTCGCTGGCCTTCCCGCCGAATTTTTTGGCTCCCGAGGATCCGTCGTCCCTCCCTCTTCACCCGAATATTCTCCTCCTCCCGATGGATCTCCCGCGCCCCCGGAGGAGGGAGAGTTTCGTCGGCTTCCTCGGCTCGGTCTTCAACGTGTTTGCGGGCGAGGAATGTTTTTTCGGGGCTCCGTCGGCCCGCCGGAAACGGAAAGACGGACGACGGCCGGTTGTTGCGCGCGCAACAAGTGTTCTTCCGGGCGGCGCCTTCCGCCGGCCGTCGTCTGGTCCGGCGAACGGGGGGACCGGACCGCTGGAGCCCCGAGACCTCAGGAGCCTGGAACCCGTCGGGGCCCGTCCGGAGCGTCGCTCCCTACCCGGGGGAGGCCGCCCGCGCTCGTGCGGGGCGGAAGAGGGAGACGGCGTCCGCCCGACGGCCTCCTCCGCCGCCGTCAGAAGGGGCCCGACCGGTCGGGGGTGGCGCGCGCCGGCCGGCAGAAGGCGCCGCTTGCCGCCCGGTGGTGGGAAGGGACCGGGCCCCCGGGCCGGGGAGGACCGCGAGTCGGGCCGGGACCCGAAGGAAAGAGGGACTCACCTGCGGCCAAGAAGACGAAGAAGCAGGTCTTGAGCAGTCGCTCCATCCCGTCTTCCGGATGCGAATTTTCGGGCCGTAATCCTGAGAAGCGCGCGGACGCCGCCGTACCCACCGCCGTTCTCCTACCTTATCGACCCGACGGACGCCGTCGCTGCCGCCAGGGGGAGCCACCGACGAAGGAGTCGGCGTAGGATCGGGAGCGCGCCGACCCGCCGCCGGAAAGGAGCGCTCCCCCTCTCCCCCGGGGCCTTCCCTTTAGGTAGGGGCCCCTTCGAGGGTCCCGTCTCGGCGTTCGAACGTGGCGCCCTTCTCTCCGAAGGCTAAAGAGACGAAACGACAAGGCCTACGCTCCAGTCGCGGTTTTTTTTTGCGGTAAATGCGCGACGCGACGCGTAGCGCACACGCGTCGCCTGATAAAGGAAAGAGATTAATTAAACTGGAAAGATGTCGTCGTCCTCCCCAAGCGGGGAAAAGCAGAAAGAAAGCGTTGGGAAAATTGATATAAATTATGAAGAGGGAGAAGTATTTAAATTCCTGGAGCGTCTCGAGGATTAGTTAGGGGCGAGCTTCTCCTCCGTAGCTTAAGGAGGAGCGAGAAGAGTCTGTTTACGCCCAAATTCCTGGTTTAATTATCGCGTTGATTAAATAAATAAGACCAAGAAGCTCGGATATCCGAGACGTCTTTAAACACGTCTTCCCATTTTTTTCCAACGTCTGGTCGTTCGTTCGTTCGTCCGGCTGTTTGTTCGTCTTCTCTATTCTCATTCTCTCCCAAGTTGCACGGCCCGTACGTCACCACCATTTTACTAATTAATAATAATTGCTTATTTGTAATTAGCCAAACTAATAATTTCGCCAGTCGGGAAGAGAGACGAACGGAGATTTTCGAACAGAGATAGAGGATGAGGGAAAAAGTCCCTCTTCCTCTTCTGGAAGACGACTTTCGAAAGGGATTTTTCCAGTCTCTAGGGAATTTTTGGAGAGAAAAATTCGGTTCCTGTGGCTGTCCTGTCTCCTACAAAAACAATACTTTTTCTATCGTTTCTCGCACCCCTTAGCTCTCTTCTATTAAGAAAACAACCAAATTCGCTTGTCCTCCGTCCGAAAAAACACGAGGCGATGAAATTTACTCTATCAATTACGTCGCGAGAAACGGAGCGACTCTCGCTCCTACTCTTCCCCTTTGACCCCGGTAGTGACGTAACGGTAGATTCTCTTTAATATAAGGGCTCGAGTCACCCGAAACTTGGGAACTTTATAACCGTGAATTTCACTGTAAGCATGTTTTATTTACCAATTAAACGGATTTGTTTTGGTTACGGTCGTCGTCTCCCTCTTTAAATTTGTCATTAGTAAATTTGTTTACGGTCCTTTTATTATTATTATTATTAATTTTTTTCTTTATAAAGTAGACCTTCGTCACGCCATCGTTCGGCCGGGTGGTACCTGGTGACGTGAAAAAATAATACGTTATAAATTTTTAAAGGGTCAACGAAATTTTCGTCTGGGGGATTGCTTACAATTTCTCTTTTTCTTGTCATCTCAGCCATTTTTAACTGGCCTCAAACGTACGAAATGATCTACCGGTGAGGTAATTAATAGGAGTAACAGTTTTACCGATAGAAGCGCCATAAACTCCCCTTAACGTATAGGTTTTGTACGTAAATCTCCGTACTAACATATCGTGCATCTAACAATACGATCGAAGAATTATAACAATAAGCTAATTAAGTAGGACACGAAATTATAGGTTAAATGTTCTACGTCCTCCTGGATAGTCGGGGGGGGTCCGTTATTTGTGACGTCAATAGGTTGGAGTTGGGATGACGTATACCTTTAATCACCGATATGAAAGAGATGAGAAAACAAACGTAGTGTAAAGGAGACGTCGTTCCACACTAGAAACCAAAATTCGATCGGAAGCGGAAGTGTATTTTCGCGGGATATTAGGAGGGGATGCGAACAAACAAATAGGTTAGGGCGGAAGTAGGCCAATATATGATTAAAAATAAACTGAGCAATACACATGTAATCAATGAGTTAGCTGCAAGTATAGAATCCTACAGGGGCCAATGTTCTTCGTAAATGGTCCAAAACGAAATTCCTCCTCCATCAGGAGTCACGCCATTAATTTGTCAGATTAAAATTTCATATTTGGAGCCTGAATAATAGACGTTTCGAATGAAAACGTCCTTAAAAATCGAGGAAGATTGAAGGAAAACGGCTCGAGAACGTGGTGGAGAACACCCGGTATTATTGGGAGTAGGGAAATATAATTAATAGGATCGGGTGTCAAACGGTAGTTAAGTCTAACTTATGGTCTCATTTAAGATATCGAATCTATTAACAGAGGAAACAAGATCAATAAATTGTTTTTAACTCTATTGTTACGGAGAGAAATATAATGGAGGGGTGAACGAGACGTCTTTCCTGTTATATATAACACAGGAAAGTATGGCGACCGGTCAAAAATTGACTCCCCCCACCAAGATTTATACGTTTTTTAGACTCGAGAGACCTTCAAACGTCTAGAAATGCAATAAATTTGGTAGATTTTTAAGCATGTGTATGAGGGGCACGATTCGTTACGCTCAATTTAAAGCTTAATAACTCGCGTACCTTTGGTCGAAAATTTCTGAAATTTTGCACGGAGGTGCGCGTATTAGATGAAAACGTTCCTAGAAATTTTCATGAAAATCGAAGCATTTTTCGGAGGATATCTCCCTTTAATATCTTTCAACACAACGTTAACATTAATGGCAGAAATCATTAGTGACGAGTCTAGTAGCAGTGTTGACGAGTGTTTATGTTTATTTATTTCTTGAATTACATTTTAAATGATTCGAAGTTTGTCGATCGATTTTCTACACTTTCGTTAATCGCTCGGCGCTATACGACGAGTCTAATTGTCGCTTTGTCCCGAAAGATAATCGCGACACATCTATTTACTCTCCCGTGTTCGTTATATTAACTCCTGTATTCGTAATTATAAAGTTTCTCGGACGTATTCCTTTACTACTCCATTTATAAATAGAGTAAACGGCGATTAATCTTTCTCGCTGCTATAAAATTTGTCGTGCGATTTCTATTTCGAGAGAGGAGAATTTCTCTTCCTATTTTAATAATTTATTTTCGAAATGAATTTAGGCACGGATCTCTCTCTCAATTGCAATTTTCTATCCAAAAAAAGCAAGTAATAATAATAATAATAAAGAATATTCTATTTGAGAGAGCGAATAAATTTCTTATAATATTTATATTTAGCAATCGTTTAATTTTCTTTCGAAATTGTTTATTCTAACGATTTTCGCGAAATTTAAAACGTAATTTCTCTCTTCCCATTCTTGTAAATGACGTATTTTTGAGGGAATTATTCTTTATTATTTGAGAGGAAGAACTTATACGATAAAACCTGTGTAAAGTGGACACGCGTGGTAACGAATGTTTCTTCCTCTTTAGACAGGTTTCCGTTATAAATAGGTCTTTCTACTTAACACACAGAGCCCTTAAGTGGAGTTTTATGGGTTTTCTCCACGTCTGTAACGCATAAATAGGGGTCATTTTCTCTTAAAAAGTCCTCCCCTAGGTAGATCGTCCAAGTGTTGCGTTACATAACTACATAACTAAACATACGTTTAACATATAAAATCGCTTCGTTAGGACAATATTACGGTTTAGATAGGTTTTTGTTTTATTCCAGGTTCCGTTTAAGACAGGTTTTACTGTGTTATACGGGGGTTTTGTTGCTGGAAGACGGTGTCAATTATGGGAATCGAATGCTTTTAGTGTGTTGAAGTCAGCTTTCGATTGGTCCAGACCCGGGTTGAATTAACAAAGGGGTGAAAGAATAATTGTAGGGAAAACCGATCTGACATTGGAGTTACTTATTAAATTAAATTCGGAAGCAAAAATTTTCCACCTTTTATATATCACCTTGTCACTGAAACTTTTCGTATGGAGAAATTAAAGCGATCAATCAGTAATTCTCTTCTTCTCTTTCATTTTTTTTTCGTTTTACAAACAAGATTACTGTTTATTTTTTTTTATTTTTACCTGTACTCGTGCTTGGATTTTTACCTTTCGCCAATATGTAAATTTAATGAAACGGAATTAATTTCAATAACAATTAAATATGTATGGATGAAAAGTAACTAGGCATTGAGAAATCGCTATAACTTTTGTAAAAATAAAGAAATCGTAATAAAATTTATATTTTCGTATATAGTAGTTAATGTAATTTTATAGTTCTTGCACCGGTGATATGGGTATTAAACGAGAGAGGATACAGTTCGTAGTAGTTTATAAGGTAGCCAACCGCTCGTCTGTTTAGGAGCGAGCGAAGATTGCTCCACGCTGTGATATGAAAATCAGTAGTTGATGTACTTTACAGAGATAGTGGCGTACGGTGATGACATAATCCGTTCGGAAACAATTAAGAATTGTTATTTAAAGCTAAAATGACTAGAGATTCGGTTGCGGACTTACAGAGATAAGACCGTTAATCCACATTACGATCTGAGAAAAACGTGTCTTTGATAGATAACGCCGTGTCTACATCGAATTTAGGGTATACATCCATATTTTCATTTAATAAGATACGTTTCATATAATTTTTATTAACTTTGCATGAAAATTATAAAAATTATAACGATTTCTCAATGCCTAGTTATTTTTCACCCACCATTTACAAAGTAATTTTTGTAGTAATTCTCTATATCCTTACTCTTTTAAATATCTATCTATATCCTGTGTACTTACACCTTGTTTATAAATAGGTTAGTAGTTTCTGATTATCAAATAGAAAAGATCTTAGTCAAAAGTCATTGCTTGCCCCTGTAAATCATACTTTTCCTTTTAACAATAGAGTCGTGCCAATTACCTATCTAACCTATACACCTTTTGGGTGGGGAGAAGCATTTCTTCAATTAGAAACATTAATATTTTCACAGATATTCACGAAAAATCAGAGAAGAATCGTGTAAATAAATTATCGAAGATCGATCTTGAGGAGGAACTAATTGTGGTTTCTCAAATGTCTTCAGGAAAAAAGAAAAGAAGGAAGAGGGAAAAAGACAATCAGAAAATTTACTTAAATGTTATCTTCTTTTTTAAATTTTAAATTTACTTAAATGTTATTTTCTTTTTTAAATTCTTCCCATCAAAAGAAATCAAAGATCATTAAATCCTCTTCCCGATTTTAATACGATTTTGTTTCAAAATATGGATTTATTTCTCCCTTACGTACACTTAACTTCATAATTAATTATAAAATTCTG